TAAAAGGGTTCGTTTGCTCCGCTCAGCATTAGTGTGTGTTGAGCTTCAGAGGTGAATTGTTCTCCCGTGCATTTAGTGGCTGATCAATGGTTGCAAAATACAAAATGAAAATACTACTCTTAACTCTCTCAGCTTCGGCTTCGTTGGCGACTTTGGGTAAGTTTAGGTTTGAATTTGTGTCGAGTGAGTAATATGCTTTCATACTTAGTTTTGCTGTTATATTTAATTAGGATTTGACTGTACTATTAATTTCAATGTCTCGCTACACGGTAATACGGCCATGTACTTTGAACTTGTCACTTGAATTAAGAATAACTTTTATTAACAACATTCCCTAACAATAAAAACAATTTCTGTGCAACATGATAAAGTGCAAGAGTGATTATAACTCTTTTACTCACGAATATTGTTGTAGAGTCACTCCTATGCCATGTACGAAGAGCATCGACCTGTGCTTTCTCATGTAGGCCTTTTGCTCTGCCAAGTCGCGTGACCCAAAAACGGGAATATCTTCACTTAAGCTCTATTTCATTTCATTTATTAATTCTATCTCCATTTTTTAATTTCCTAACATGAACTGCCATGTCATCAGTCATTACAAATATAGCTCCGACGGGGAACGGCTCGATTTCAGTCAAACTTTAGCAAAAGAGAGAGAGAAAAAAAAAATTCTGCTTTCTATCTAGGTGAAAGAACGGAAGGGTTCTGTGGGTCCGCGTTAGGCCCAAGGAAAGTGACGCAATCGTGAACGCCCTTCTTGTTTATGGTGCGGGTCACTGCCTCGCATTCCGGGCGCTCTCGCTCCCCTGTGCCTACTCGGACAGATGTGCTTTGGCTCTCTCTCTCTCTGTCTGTCTCTCTTCTAATTTTACTTCTCTTTCTCTTTCTCTCTCTTCTCTCTCTCTCTCTCTCTCTCTCTCTCTCTCTCTCTCTCTCTCTCTCTCTCTCTCTCTCTCTCTCTCTCTCTCTCTCTCTCTCTCTCTCTCTCTTTCTCTTTTCTTTCTCTTTCTCTCTCTCTCTCTCTCTCTCTCTCTCTCTCTCTCTCTCTCTCTCTCTCTCTCTCTCTCTCTCTCTCTCTCTCTCTCTCTCTCTCAATTTCTATTACTCTCTTTTTCTCTCTCTCTCTCTCTCTCTCTCTCTCTCTCTCTCTCTCTCTCTCTCTCTCTCTCTCTCTCTCTCTCTCTCTCTCTCTCTCTCTCTCTCTCTCTCTCCTCTCTCATGTTAATCATACATATATGTGTATGTGTACATATATACATATATATATGTGTTGTGCGTGTGTGTGTATGTTATATATGTATATGTATATATATTGTATATACTAATATATAGTATATATATATATATATATATATATATATATATATACAATGTAGATTTATGTATTATATGTTTATATATATACATATACACTTGTATACATTCACACACACACACATGTGTATATATATGTATACATATCTATATATATACATACATGCGTGTCTCCCAGAGATCCCTCAGCTCAACCTCATCAACTGCCTCAGCGGTCCCCATATCCTTTGCTTTTGGAATAACAACACACAGCCGATTATTTTTTCTATTACGAAAATTAAGTTTCGTGTAATTTACTTTGTACTTCAATAACAATTTAACGATAACTTTTTTTTTAGAAGTCTATAGCAATCACTGAAGGGCTAACGTGCGTAGGCCTATGAGCAACTGATTAATATTCGCCGCTCGCTTGCGTTCCGATTTCAGGCGCGCTTTCACTCCGTCAGAGAAAATATTAACCATGAAATAATAATCTACATGACTAAGATATATCAACTATGGTAACTGAAAACATAACACTTGTTACTGTCTCCGTAAACTCTCTAAAAAGCAACTTATTTGGATCCATTTTAGTGTGTCGAGAAAGTGAATTCTCCTGCGATGGGTCGCGCTGCATACCCAGGAAGTGGCTGTGCGACGGCGACCCCGACTGTACCGATGGAACGGATGAATTGGTGAGTTTATTTACCCTTAAAAGGCATTGAATAAAGTGATGGATCCTCTAAAATGTATATATTAATCCACTACCCAGGTTATGGTTCTTAGGATCTGGTAGTTCGGGTAGTTAGCGAAATAGAGGAAAATAACAGATTCCCTACTCCTTTCCAGACGACGAACTGCCCGGCCAAAGCGAGCGACGGTGGGCGGACATGTCGAGCCTCGGAGTTCCAGTGCGGGAACGGCAACTGCATCCCTCAGACGTGGAAGTGCGACGGCCAGGACGACTGCAGAGATAACACGGACGAGGAAAGCTGCGGTGAGTTCCCGTGGCAGTTGTTGGTAGCTTTACAATTGGCGTGTTTGGGGTTTGATTTCAGTTGCGGGTGGGCTTATAATTGGCGCATTTTGGCGTGTTTGGATATACTGCGGCATATATTGATGACTAATTATCCTTTTATATCTCTATTGTTTACAGAAAAGACCTGTAGAGATACGCAGTTCCAGTGTGTGAGTGACAAGCAATGCATTACGAAGAAGTGGCGTTGTGACAACCAGAAAGATTGCCAAGATGGCTCAGACGAGGTAAGGATGATCTGCACAACTGCTCTCTTCCTCTCTCTCGCTCTCATATATCGAAAGCATAGTTCATACATCCATAATCTGATATACCGGTTTTCTTTTTCTTCAGGAAAATTGTGAAGAGGAAGTAGCGACTGTCCCGCCACACATGTTCCGGTGCGCGTCCGGCATAACGATTCCCACGCGCTGGCTGTGCGACGGGGAGGAGGACTGCACGGAGGGATCGGACGAAAAGGTAAACAGACGCTCGGATTCTGATTTTCAGGCTTTTTTCCGTCGTTGGGATCCATGTGAGAGGTTAAATAGGCACCGTGGTACTGGATACAAATGCTAATACACTGACTGTGACGATGAATACTAATACTATCTCTGTGTCACTGAATACTATTGTCAAATCTACCTTGCAGAACTGCCCAGGCGGGGAAGCAAATAAGCCCCAGGAAAAATCGGATCCTTGTCGTGACAATGAATTCCAGTGCGGAGCTTACTGCGTCATGGCGACCTGGGTGTGTGATGGAGGCGTCGACTGCCCCAACGGCGAAGACGAGGCAAACTGCGACAAAGAATGCCCAGAATCACACTTCACATGCAACAACAAGCAGTGCATTCTCGGGCACTTGCGATGCAACGGGGAGAAAGAATGTGCCGATGGTTCCGACGAATCCGATTGCCGTAAGCATCATGCCTGTGATGGATTGCCAAACGGGACTTGAGATCTTACCTGAACAAATATTGACCCCAAGAGTTTTTCTTTGACACAAGGCGTATTAATTGGTCCTTTTTCTCTTCAACAGCCAAAGTACCGGCAGTCACGGACGCGCCGAAAGTGGAATGCAATCTGACGTCGCACTTCCTGTGTTCACTCAACAAGTGCATCCACCGCAGGAATCTTTGCAACGGCAGGAATGACTGTGGTGACTGGCAGGTAATTTTCCCATAGAGAAGACAATCACTGAGAGATGCGTTGAACAAATATCGTAAATTCTTCATGTATTATATACTATTACGTGTATCCAACTTCATTGTAAGTGATTGAATTCACGTTGATCTGATTTTAACATTCTTTGTTTCTGATTTCCAGGATGAGTCGGAGGAGGAATGCGGCGTGAATGAGTGCGAGAGAAACAACGGCGGCTGCACCCACTTGTGCGTCGACTCCAGGGAGAGTTACCACTGCGAGTGTAGGACGGGGTATCGCCTGGTCGGAAAGTACACGTGTGAAGGTAAGCTTTCGACAAACTTTTAATGAACAGACTTCATATGATGACAAAATGTCTTCACTGAAAGATTGAAAAGTAAATCAAATTTATATATTATATATATATATATATATATATATATATATATATATATATATATATATATTTCTCTCTCTCTCTCTCTGATCTTTTTTTATTATTTTTTTCTTTTCTTTTCTTTTTCTTCTTTTTTTTTCTGAGAAACTGGTTATAATGGAAGACCTTTTAAACCTTTCAGATATTGACGAGTGCCTCGAGGTCCCAGGAACGTGCTCCAGCAGTGCACCAACACGAACGGAGTTACCACTGCTCTGCCTCCCCGGTTACGACGCGACCCTGGCAACTACACCCGCTGCAAGGCCTCGACAGGAGAGCCCTACCTCCTCTTCTCTCACAGGTTCGTTGGCAAGTGTGTGAGATTTCGATTCTGAATGTGCGCTTATAGTTGTTGTGTGTGTGTGTGTGTGTGTGTGTGTGTGTGTGTGTGTGTGTGTGTGTGTGTGTGTGTGTGGTGTGTGTGTGTGTGTGTGTGTGTGTGTGTGTGTGTGTGTGTGTGTCCGTGCGTGTGTGTGTGTGTTTATGATAATTTGACCTTTTGCCTTTAATTGATACATTTTTCCTCTCTCTTTAGATACGACATCAGAAGCCTTCGTCTTCGCGATAATGATATGACTTCAGTTGTGAGTGATGCGAGAGAAGCGACAGCACTGGATTACCTGTTCACGGGACACCAAATCATCTGGTCAGATAACAAGGAGAATCAGATCATTAGGTGAGTGTGAACATTCGAAGAACATCATTAATAGTGTTTGATATTAGATTGAATACTTAGCTGAATATATTAAATTATTATATTAAATTATTATATTAATTATTATATTAAATTAATTATTGAAATGGAACTTCGGGATATTAATGTATTGTTTTATTCGTTCAACAGGGCTAATATTACTACTCCAGAAGAGAGGGAAGTTCTTGTTACGGGTGAACAAGTCTCTGCAGATGGGTTGGCTGTTGACTGGATTCACAATCACATTTATTACACTGATACAGGCAACTTTAAAATCCGCCTCGTGTCCTGGGACGCCAAGTGGTCGAAGACAATTGTACAGGAAGAATTGGGACAACCAAGGGCCATTGTAGTTAGTCCCTTAGATGGGTAAGCATCATATATTTGCAGAGTTGGTTGTCTTAAAGAGATGTTGAAGATATTGTTAGTTGCGTTTCAAAATTTGTCTGAAATTGGTTCTTTTTAAAAAAGTTATTTACTCTTCTCATTTCCTTTGGAATTGGTTGTCTTAAGAAAAAAAAGTTAAACCCAGCATTCAATTCTCTGAACCATTTTGTGTGAAATCTTAGGATCTTGCGTTTCGTCATTGCAGATACGTATTTTGGACCGACTGGGGAATGTCTCCCAAGATCGAGAGAGCTGGTCTGGATGGAGAGGGTCGCACAGCCATCGTGACAGCCCCTCATGTGTATTGGCCAAACGGTATTACAATTGACCTGCCAAACAATGACCTATATTGGTGTGATGGAAAGCTGAACACCATTAGCAAGGCCAGACTAGATGGAACCCAAATTGAGGTGAGTATTTATGTTGTATGAAACTTTGGTGAAGAAGGTTGATAGTATGGTAGCAAATGTGTTGGGATTAAGACCTGAAATCTCTGAGAAATATGTATATGTTATTTATCAGTTTTGTTTTGTCACAGTAGAAAGCCTGACCTCTCTGAAATCTGTATGTAATCTAATTTATCAGTTTATTTTTGTCACAGCATGCCCTTACTGTTTTATCTTTACCAGGTGGTTTTGTTTTCACCAAGTGTCTTGAGGCTTCCCTACTCCATTACCGTGTTTGAGGACCGACTTTACTGGACGGACTGGTCACAGCTTGCCCTATACAGTGCCAATAAATTTAATGGAGAAGATATTCACAACGTTTCAGCTGGACACTTGGTGAGTTTTGGTGGGAAATGAGTAAAAGATCTAGGAACAGGCTATTGAGAATCATGCTATATTGAGGAGTTTCAGTAGAGATGGAATATTGATAACTCACATATAAACAATTCATTATCTGAATGTTTTATTTAAATCTCAATTTGGATTTACCTTGCAGCTTGAGTCACCCAAAGTGGTACACGTTTTCCACGAATATCGCCAGCCTAGTGGAGAAAATGTATGTGACGGCCACACTTGTAGTCACCTGTGTATCCGGAGTCCCATGGGTATGGCGAAGTGCATGTGTCCCGATGGGTTGTTACTTTCCACAAGGGACTCAATTTCCTGCCTTGAAGGTGGTACGTATTTTGATTTAATTTTGATTTTTTAAAATTAGTATTTATGTAACTTGTACTTTATCCTTATAAGTGTAATTATTCTGAGATTTACTCTTCTGATGTAAATCAAAACTTATCAGTTTGACAAGGATTTTGTCTTTATTGTTTGCTGTGAACTTCAATTCCATTTTCAGAACTTCCAGATATAATGGAACCAAGCAGTGAACCAGTGAATCCTATGATTCCTGTCTTACCATCAGACTTTGACTACAGTAATGAAGAAATCATTCCCTTGGAAACAAACAAATATGAAAAAATCCAAACCCTGGAAGGATCTAACTTTAGCGTGATCTTCGCAGTAGGAGTTGGGTCTGCTGTGGTGTTGGCCATTGTTGTCATGGTAATTATTGTAGAGAATGTATTTTCATGTCCAAAAGGATACGTTTCTCAATGAGTTACTGAAGCTATTATCATTTAAGTGGACAGAGACTTGCCTTTCATTCAAATGAGTATATTGCACTATCAAAAAGGTACAAATGACCATGAGCTACACACGAAATAACATTTTAATTTCTTTTGACAGGTTCTTGTAGGTTTGTGGAGAAAACGTGTAGCAGCTGAAGTACCCCACATGCGTTTCCCAAATCCTGTTTACCGCAAGACTACTGACGAAGAAATGGACGGTGGTGGTTACATTATTGGCCATGATGACCTACTATTTAAACCCCAAGCTGTACAGTATTCAGAAGGGCCAGATATTCCTGAAGGAGATTCGGTAAGTGTATTGCACACATTAAAACAATGCATCTGTGGTAACAAGAATTTTGGAAATACTTTTTTATTTTTATGCAAAAATGTAGCTAAAATAATTGGTTTCTTATTTTTTACAGGATGACACTCCACTTGCTCCAAAGAAGTAAATATTTTGAGCATTGTATTTATTAGCAACTAGAAATGCAAACCAAGATGGTTAACAGTATATATATATATATATATCTCAGTGAAACCCGCTGCATAATATTACAAGTATATCTGTTTTATCACTCAAAAAGGCAGGTTTATTTATGAGGCTGATTTACATTTTGCTTCACTCCCTGGAAAAAGTGCCTCGCATTTTCAAAGGTATTCCAGAATTACAGATATATTTGCCTAGATATACACCTATTGTTTTTATTATTTAGTAAATATTCAATAGGCATGCTAATTGAAGGCTTATTGAAATAATATATATTTTTTCTAAATGGTTTTGTACTGAATTCTGAATATCTACAGTGTAAAGTTGGCCATGTAAGAATTGTGAAATTGTATCTTTTTGTCTGTGATATAATTGTATATTGTAAATAGTGTAAATAACTCATCAATCATATCATACCACATTAGGATATTGGCTTCAAAATATGATATAGAAAAAAACTCATTGAAATACCCAAAGGTCAGATCACTTGGGTATAAAATTGCTTTTGAGCCACAGTATTCGCAAGCCCTCATATCGTCACACTTACCATCGTCATCTGTATTTTAAGCCTTGTCAGTAATATCAGTTGCTTTTAATTTCTAATTTTGTTATTCATCCATAACATAGAACTTGCTTAAGGGAATTGTATATGCTCAAGCAACCAATCTTTTTCCTTAAGAGCTTGTCCCTTTGTTCACATAGAGAGAATATGAGATAAGGAGAGATGTTATATATTTTTGTTACATTGTGCAGTTCCTGTAAATATATTTTATAAAATGGAGAGTATAAACCACACTCATATTTGAATAGTGTTATTGATGGATATATAAAGACAGCGTAAAGCATTGTGCTCGTCTCCTTTCTCATGATGCTTTTCTATTATATTCATATAATACTATCTGTTTTTTATAACATTTAGATGTGGCTGTGTTCAGAAGGTAAATGCATGTGTAACAGATGCTTTCTGCAAAATTTTAGCTTTTCGGAATCTCCGTCTCGTAGACCAAGTATAGTTCTGGTTTAATTAAAAATCCATTATTGGTAACAAATATATTTTCAACAATATAATGTTCTCGTTTGATGTGACATTTACTTTTGCACATGCAAATTAGCCACAGGCTGAAGCTCTTGAAAAACTTTTGAGTGAATATTTCCTGTCCAAAGAGACTGCTGTAAAAACTACTGGATGCATGTCCAAATATTTTCAATGACAACACTCTTTCCTCTTTTTTTAAAGGGAAGGCTATTGTATTTCTCAAATATATGTTTGTGTGCTAAATTTAGTTTAATTATCCATCCTTATAAATGCATCTGAAAATTAGACAATTTGTACTAATCAGAGAGTTCAGTTGAAGAAGGAATCCATTCTGAAAATGTTACAATGAGGAAAAAGTTAGTTGTCCCTTTGTAGACTATACAAGTACAAAAAGTCATGATCTGCTAACTGGCTCATTTAATCCAACATTCAGTATAAAGAATTTCTTATTCACTAAATATCTGATAATATTCCTAGAGGACATATCTACATGTAACAAAGTACAAAAAAAAGGAGGAAAAATATCGGTGACAAGACGAGTAAATGTAAAAACTTATTGTATTTCTCATTACATAACAATTTTTCACGTCACTGAAACTGTTCCTCTGGAGTGTGTATTATTCTGAAAGCAATACTGCATGGAAGAAACTAAACAAACCAACTTAATTCATAGCAAAAAGGAAGTGAGAAATATGAAAAATGAAATATATCTCAAATATACATGAGGGAATATGTATGACATGTAAGTACAAAATATTTACAAAATAACGCATGCAAAGATTCTAATATGGTGTTGTATCCAGGAAAGAACACAATTTTGATTACTTGATAATAATTGTTGATATATTTTTATTCTTAAAATCTAAAGCTCCAAATAAAATGTTAAATTTCATATAAGGAGTAAAAAAGGGAAAGAAAGATCTGATTTAACTAGCAAAGACAGCAATCATTTCATGTACATTCTCTAATATTGGCATCTAATACGGCATAAATAGCTTAAAATCTGTAGCCTCACAAACACCAAGAAAAAAAAAAAAAAACTATATAAAGCTGTTGTTAACCACTATAGCTAAATTGAGAGTGGCGCTGGAATGGAGATTTATGTTTTCTGTCTCTTTTTTAAGCTTTCCATGAGCGTCGACTGTCGTTTCTTGGACTGACTGGGCGACAGCTTAGACTGAACGGTAGATTTTGTTGGGTTGGCTTTCTTGGTGGCTGGATTGCGGTCTCTCAGGGAATATTCATCTTCAGATCCACGGCTTCTGTTGATCTGAAAATTTCCAATATCCTAAAATAAATACTTTAAAACTGAGAGAGAGAGAGAGAGAGAGAGAGAGAGAGAGAGAGAGAGAGAGAGAGAGAGAGAGAGAGAGAGAGAGAGAGAGAGAGAGAGAGAGAGAGAGAGAGAGAGAGAAGAGAGAGAGAGAAGAGAGAGAGAGAGAGAGAGAGAGAGAGAAGAGAGAGAGAGAGAGAGAGAGAGAGAGAGGAGAGAGAGGGAGGGAGAGGAGGGAGGGAGGGAGGGAGGGAGAGAGAGAGAGAGAGAGAGAGAGAGAGAGAGAGAGAGAGAGAGAGAGAGAGAGAGAGAGAGAGAGAGAGAGAAGAGAGAGAGAGAGAGAGGAGGGAGGGAGGGAGGAGGGAGGGAGGGAGAGAGAGGAGAGAGAGAGAGAGAGAGAGAGAGAGAGAGAGAGAGAGAGAGAGAGAGAGAGAGAGAGAGAAGAGAGAGAGAGAGAGAGAGAGAGAGAGACAGAGAGAGAGAGAGAGAGAGAGAGAGAGAGAGAGAGAGAGAGAGAGAGAGAGAGAGAGAGAGAGAGAGAGAGAGAGATAGACGAGAGAGAGAGAGAGGGAGAGACAGAGAGAGAGAGAGAGAGAGAGACAGAGAGAGAGAGAGAGAGAGAGAGACAGAGAGAGAGAGAGACAGAGAGAGACAGAAGAGAGAGAGAGAGAGATAGAGAGAGGAGAGAGAGAGAGAGAGAGAGAGAGAGAGAGAGAGAGAGAGAGAGAGAGAGAGAGAGAGAGAGAGAGAGAGAGAGAGAGAGAGAGAGAGAGAGAGAGAGAGAGAGAGAGAGAGAGAGAGACAGAATGTGCCAGACCACTGATAATTAAATAAGGAACATGGGAGCACTATAATATTAATGATCTTGAACAGTAATTTACCTGTGGTCTTTGGTTGAATTCTCTCTGTAAGGCTTCAGCTAAGAGTCTGTCTGCTTCTTCCTGCTGAATCCTAGCTTCTAGCAACTGCTGCTCTTTTATCAAGACGGATAAATCATCCTGCAATTGGAAAGAATTCTGTCATTATTAGGTCTAATAAATATTTCCATTTGGCACCATAAACAGGTAAGACATCTACATCCTCTGACAAAACTGATGTTTATGAATGCATATCTAGGTCTTCAATATGGGGAAAGGCTAAACCAACTCAAGCTTTTCTCTTTACACAGACAGAGAGAAAGATATTTCATTATATATGTAGGAAAGAACATGTTAGCGCCCCGGGATAAACTTCCAGATTAAGAAAAACGTGTCATCAAAGTTTCTTAATTATTGGACCAAGGATGTTTAACAGTGTACCAAAAAGTATAGAAACATAACTTGGAGCTCTATGGAAGTTTTAAAGGAAAATTAGACAAATGGTTGAATTCAGTACCAGATAAACTACAAATGAGTGGTAGTGTTAGAACAAGGGCTGAATCAAATTCTATTCCTCATCAAGTTCAGTTCTTAGTAGTTGAGAGAAGATGGGTGGTCGTCCCCCAAAGACGGCCATGGCATAATCCACTAATAGGGCTCTTCCTTTAACTTACACCAGGTAACCAAGTAACTCCCACAAACACACAGACTCTCCCTTTCTCATGCTCACACACACATCATGGCCCACTCACATCCATACACAGTGTTGAAAATTACAACAATAACAATACTAGTATAATGGAAAAACAAATAACTGCAATTAGTAATACCACACTAGTCCCGGCCCAAATACAAAATGAGTAGCCCCACAGTATACAAAAGTACCTTACTGAAAGGGGAAACAAGTCATACATGAAGATGAAATGATTTCATTTCTCTACAAACCTCTTTTTGCATACAGTGGATTTTTCAACCACTGAATATGCTTGTTTAATAAGAATACTTTTGTAAACAACCATCCAAAAGTAATAATGATAGACATCACATCTTACAAATGGTCTCTGATGTATGCCAAGGTTTCATTATACAACATTTATGGTGCGCAGCAGCAAATCTCCAAAGTATTCCCGAGACCATGCTAAACGTTCAAGGAAGTGGAAAGATAGAGAAAAAATAGTAAACGAATCTATAACTATCAACGTATACTCACTGATTTTTGGGCTTCAGTATCTAATATCTCCGCTGGTATTAGTGTATTTGATGAATGACTTGACGCAGTTGCAGAAACCTTGCCCTGCTCTGATAACCGTCCATCATCATCGTCTTCATTTAATACTGTTATTCTAGAAACTGATTTACTGTCATTGGCACTTTGTCTCTCCTCTTTCTCAACACTTTTATGTAATCTTTTTAAGGCACTTGAACTTTCTACATTGTCCTCCTCAATGTCTGTTTCATCACTGTCTTCTAGCCTCGAACAAGAGTTGCTCTGAGAATAATCCATTTTCACTCCACAATAACTGTCAATATCTGGGCTGCATTCATTGAAGGTTCTGTGCGATTCGCTTTCTTTATTCTTGACCTTCACTTTTCCCGATTTACTTGATTTTCCTACATTCTCCTTTCCTGATTTCTTGTAGCGCGTTGGACTGCTTAAGCCAATGTCTTCTGACTCTGTTAAAAATATTAGTGTTAGTATCATTATATGTATAAAGTTGGCCACAAATAATATGTAATGGAGGAAAATAATGAAGAATTGGATATAATGACAAAATGAAGGCAGAATGACCTATATGAAACAATCATACATATAATGGCAGATAGAAAAATATGGAGGACACAAACAATTCAAGACTAAAACAAATAAGGAGAGATATCAAGACAATGAGAACAGAAATGACAAGGCAAGAAATAAAAAATTGTACGTTAAAATTATGAGGGCATGAAACAGATGAGGAAGAAGAAGAAAAGAAAACAACATTACCAAAAAATAGTTAACTTACCAGACTCTGAGCTCTGAGATGACGTGATTTCTCTCAGCTGTCTGCCTATTCGTGTAGCCATGCTATCATAGGCGATACCCATTTCTTTATTCAGTCTACGCGGGGAATCCATTGTAGATGCATGTATGCTACGTCTTCTTACTGGACTGAAGGATGAAGTTGTGGGTGTACTGCTCACATCTCTTGAAGATCTGTCTTGCAATGAAAGGCTTCTTTCTGTAAGAAAATAAAGAAAATCAATTAACCACTTGGTCTAAGTTGCCTCTATTGAGCAGTTATTCAAGTTGCCTTGCTAGAACATCAGCTCTTAAAAACTAGCGAAAGTATTCCTGCCTCTATTCCAGTGTGAACGGAATGTGGTTTACCAAAGTATATTGTACTGTTTGGCATCCTTCTTCCAACCTCAAAGTCACTGAAGGCAATCTCCCCTATATCCCTAGACCTTATCCAACACACCTGGGCCTTTTCCCATGGGTGGTTCTTCCTTCTACTCATTCCTCCCTTTATAACCTCCTAAAACCATCTAATACAACTACCTCCACATCCCATCTCCTGTCCCCTTCTCCCTGAGGACCTCCTCCTCTTCCTTCAAACAACTGTCTCCTGGAAATTATTGTTTTCACTTTGCATCTTAAATAAATAAATAGATGACTTATCATGACACAAATTAGAACAAGCTTTTTGATGTTCTATTTCATCGATTTTATTTAATTCATATGTCTTATAATTTTCCTTCATTTCCTTTCCTATTCCTTTGGTAATTTTTTTTTGCCTCTGATGATCCATTACTTAACAATACAACAAGATAAGGAATTTCTCTGTAAAATTTAACTCTTCACATAATAAAGACCAACTATGCCACCAATAAAAGTTGAAATTTTGTTATATTCACAGAAAGGGGCAAGAACTGGCTGGGCTGACGAACACTGGTCTTTAGGGGTTAAAATACAGATATCAGAGAGAGAGTGCTAATACCAATATCAATCAATAACAAGCAGTGATAGAGTAATTGTTATTCCACTTACTGTAACTTATAATCACTTATGATTAGGAAAGAACATATTATTGCCCCAGGATAATCGCTTATACTTCCTGATTAAGAAAACTGTGTTAACAAAGATTCTTGGACCAAGGCTGTTGAATAGTGTACCAAAAAGTATTAGAAACATAACTTGGAGCTCTATGGAAGTTTTAAAGAAAAATTAGACAATTGGTTGAGTTCAGTACCAGCTAAACTACCAATGAGTGGTAGTGTTAAGATAAGGGCTTGAATCAAATTCCATTCCTCACAAAGTTCAGTTCTTACTAGCTGAAAGAAGATGGGAGGTTGTCCCCCAGGATGGCCCTGGCATAACCCAATAATTGGGCTCTTGCTTAAACTTGCTTGCGTAAACAAAAATACACATAAACATAAACATTCCTGATGCAAACATGTGATTTACAGATATACATATTTCAACAGAGCTTACATGACTTTTAAAGTATATGAAACAACATAAAGTATAGAAACAACTAGGAAGTAGCAAAATTTAGTACACGCATATCATTAACACAAATATGTACACGAGATGCCTCTATATCCACACATGGCACGAAAACACAAGACTAAGTTACCTGGTGATCCAAAATTCATTTCTGAGCTTGTTGAGCCTGAAGAATATACCACTCTGGGAGCAATCTTTTTACTACTGGAACGGGGAGTTTTCTGGCCTGTTAAGATAAAAAAAATCAACTACATAAAATCATAAATACAATGCATCTGTTTGTGTATGAGTACATGGATGTGTACATGCTATATGTAATTCACAAAACATTATTGAGGTAAATTTAGAACATGCATTTACCAAATCAATTTTAAGAGCAAAAAACAAAATCAAATCATGAAAAAGAGAACCTCAATACTGTCCATCAAACGTTCCTAGAAAACACCTTCAGCTTCTATCAACATAATATACACAACAACAGAAAGCCGCACATTTGCATACCAATGAAAACATCCATTGGCCCTCGGGTGGGTGTTGAGCTAGGTTTGCTGGTCGCGTTGCTCCCTTTTCTGCTGGGAACTGGACTTAGGATTACAGGTTGCTTTTTCTTCTTTTCTTCCTCCTGTCCAAACGTCAATACAATCATTAATAAGTTGGAGACCATTGGTAGAAAAAAAAATGTTATCTTCAATCTCTGTCAATTATCAACATAACAGGGAGAGAAAGAGGGGGGGGGAGAATGAGAGAGAGAGAGAGAGAGAGAGAGAGAGAGAGAGGAGAGAGAGAGAGGAGAGAGAGAGAGAGAGAGAGAGAGAGAGAGAGAGAGAGAGAGAGAGAGAGAGAGAGGAGAGAAGAGAAGAGAGAGAGAGAGAGACAGAGAGACAGAGACAGAGACAGAGACAGAGAGAGACAGAGAGAGACAGAGAGAGACAGAGAGAGACAGAGAGAGAGAGAGAGAGAGAGAGAGAGAGAGAGAGAGAGAGAGAGAAGAGAGAGAGAGAGAGAGAGAGAGAGAGAGAGAGAGAGAGAGAGAGAATAAGAGAAAGACAGAAAGAGAGAGAGAGAATCCAGTTCAATAATAATACACACTAATATACATAAATCATAGTAAACACTCCCACAAATACTGCCTCAAGGAGTCAACTGAACAGACTGTATCTTTAACAACTCATGCATTGCTGTGTAACTGCTTTGATAAAAAAAAATCAACCAAGTGAAAACTTAAGAGTATAAAAATCAATCTCAAAACATATCTATCCTAGTCAACCCTTTATCAAAAGCTCTTCTATCTGGGATATCTGTCTTATTACATTGAACATCGAACAGCAAAACTCATAAAAAAAAATAAATAAATAAATAAAATAAAAAATAAAAACAAATAAATAAATAAATAAAAATTAAGTAAAAGTTAACATTTCTATTTTCTTTTTATCTCCCTGTCTGTCTGCATCATTATTAATCTCTGTCCAACTATCTACCATTTCTTATTTACTTCTCTAGTTAGGACCTTCCACCAAGGTAAATCATATGTATAAAACACCCCATCCACTTTTCTCTCTACTTTTTTCCTTCCCATAAACCTTATTACTATAACTATTCTGATATGCAATAAACATAACTAACATCATTCTCAAGCACAATAACTATAACTAAAATTGTTATGATAAGCTATGACTTGAGTATAATCAATATGATATACAATATCTAAAACTGATTTGATATGCAATAACTACAACTTAAACTTAAACCCATTCCTTCCCCCATAATTCCCTAAAAGCAATGTATATAGTCTTTGTCTAAAGCTATCTCAATCTAACTAATAACTAAAACTGTTCTATTATACAACTACCCAGTAAGTAAGCATCGACACCTATTCCTTTCCCCATGAATCCTTAACAGTAATGCGAATGGGCTCTGTCTATAGCTACCTCAATCTGACGTGCAATAACTTCGTCTCTTTCAATAAGCAGCAGCAGCTTCACCTGTTCTTCTTGTTCTCTTATGCTTTCTGCTTCCTAATAACAACATAATAAACATTTAAAACCAAAGAGATATACAACACAATGAAATTAAAAAGTAACTTTTTTCTATAGTCATTAGCAATAACTGACTGACTGTAATCTCCATTCAACTCAGGATTAGTAACTAGACCAGACGTGAACTGGTTGGTCAAGTGATGGACGTTGAAAAAGATCTTGATATGTGATATTTTAAGTAACAATCTTCAGTGTGGCAGATAAAGAGTAAAATATACATGGAAACATAAAAAAATAGGATACACAACATGCCAATTATAAACAACCATAACCAAGCAATAACAAAACTACATATATGTATAGGTCTAACATAGATATCTTGTGCTAAGTTACCTTAACCTGCTGTGCTAAGGCCTCATCATTTTCACACAAGAGCTGCTGACGTTCGCGCCGTTCTCTCAGTTTCATCTTCTCTTCTTCCTGTTAGTTTTGAAAATATTTGGTAAAATACACAATATCTATATGAAGGAGAGAATAAAAAAAACAAACAAACAAAAACAAAACAAAACAAATGAGAATATTTGGTAAAATACACAATATCTATATGAAGGAGAGAGAGAGAGAGAGAGAGAGAGAGAGAGAAAAAAAGTTGCATTAATCATTTGGCACCTTCTCATACTTTATTAGTAACATGACCAACAGTAGTTTCATTATTAGATACTATATAAGACACACACACACACACACACACACACACGCACGCACGCACACACACACGCACGCACGCATGCACACACACACATACACACACAGACACACACACACCTGTAATTGCTGTATTAATCGGCTTGATGCTAATTCTTCTTCTGTTCTCTGTAGGGATCTCTCCTGCTCTTGTTGGGCCAAAAGAGCCTCGTATTCTTGTCGGATCTCTCCTGGCTGACACACATGGGGCTTTGGCACATTGGTGTCTATGCATAAAGATAAAAAATACATATCACAATGGTGTCTATGTATAAAGACAAGAAATATTTATTCAAAATATCAAATACTAGAAATAAATACCTAAACAGGATCAAAAGCTATGAAAGACTCAACTGAAATCAGACCTCACCTTCCAAAATGAAGTCATCTTCATCGTGCAGGCGAGCTTCTATCAGGGACGAGAATTTTTCTTGTATCATGTCCCAGAGCCTCTTGTCGACCAACTTATTGGTTTTGGTTGAGCGTCTCACCCACACACTTATTCTGAAGATTAAAAAATTAAAAACTGAGTTCCACACTACGAATGTCATATCAAGTCAAGTGAATAATAAATTTGCTAGGTCTATAAAAAGACTTCTGTTTGAAATGAGATGTGCCAAAAGTTTTGGTCTTAGAATAAGTAATATCTTTGAGAACTGGTTACTGGACTTGCAGGCTAAAAATATGGATGATACTCAATCTTTTCTACTTAATGTAATAGGCAAATCAAGTGTCATATTTTTGGTCAATGGAATCAAGTTCAATATATTCTATGGTAATTGTTTAAGAAGTGACCACACCCCTCTGAGACTAACAGTTGTATGCTTAAAGAAATTGTGGAATACACAACTGGAATACCAAAATAACACAAGAGAATAAAAACTGCATTTTTGAGATGGACAGTTCTCGACAATCGTGAAGATTCTAGCATAGGTAAATTGGATTAAAATCCGATTTGCATTACACAATTTCTTTATACATACAGCCAAAGGTTCCTATTACTCCAACCATCCTAACACAAGAGCTTTGCACCCCACAACTCTATCTGATTACTGTATTTGATATAAAGAATTACATCACAAGTACAGTGGCTTTTCATAAG